CAGCTTGAACCTCTGGAAGTTCTCTGTCAATGTATGATTGTAGCCGTTTCTGTATTACCTTTAGCAAAACTTTACTCGCTGGAGATATCAAAGAGATTGTCCGATGATATCTGCATTCTGTTGGGTCACCTCTCTTTGGAATGGGCACAAATATGGATCTCTTCCAATCGGTCCGCCAGATAGTTGTCTTCCAAATTTCTTGGCAGAGATGAGTGAGTACTTCCTGTGCCGCCTCACTTTCTTGAAAGTGAGCCCACTGTAGCGACAGCCCAAAGCAGCTGATAGTACTGAGCGCGCGCAGCGGGTCTCCGGCGACCACTTACCTCGCCACTGCCTCCACGGAGCCGGGAATGGGTCTGCCGCCGCCCGCGTCACCATCGCACAGAACGCCCGAGATGTCGAGCAGCACACCGCGTATGCCGGCCAGTCGCTCGCTCCACGCGGCCATCGCTTGTCGCGCGTTTCAGACTTTGCACCCTTGCCTTCAACCGAAGGCTTCAGTCGCGCTCGCGGCGCAGGGGAGCCTGGGAAGTGTAGTTCTGCAGGACGGGGCGGGGCCGGGCGCCGCGGATTCCGGCCTCTCACCCCGGGGTCACGCTCCGGGGAATGGAGTTCTTTATGAAACTGCCTTCTCCTCAAGATATCAGTGGACAAAGCGCATGGAAAACAGAAACCCATCCCCTGGGAAATAAACCTCCCTAAAAATCAGAGCAAGACAAATTGAGACAAGGAGGCCCTTGTAAAAGAAAAATTAAAGAGAGCAGGCAATATCGTCACCAATGGTTTGAGCTGCTTGCTGTCCACTTCCTTTGGTACCCGAGTTGCTGTTGTTAAGTACCGTCGAGTCGGTTCCGACCCATAGCGACCCTGTATAGGGTTTCCAAGGAGCAGCTGATGAGCTTGAACCACGGACCTTGCAGTTCAAACGGCTTTGAGTAGGACAGCCTAAAAGCTAGCGAAATAGTGGTTCCCTTTGACCTGGCAATGTCGTACCTGGGAAACAAGGCTAAGAAAATTCCTTCAAGGGGATGACTGCAAAAAGCTGGGAGAAAAGCAAATGTTCAAGGGTGCAAGGGCTCAAGTTATAACAGTTACTCAATGAAATATGATATCAAATAATGACTAGGCTTTATATCAAAGAATAGCCTTGTTTCCTCAGTGTACTAGCTTGACAGGGATGAGAAATTGAGAGACTGGCTATCAAAAATGGGGGTGGGGGGCGGGGGGCGGTTGTACAAAGACATGAAGTGGCTAGCTTACAAGCTTTCATGAGTGTGATTAGTTGGAGAATGAGGAGTGAGAAAAAAGAGGACAGAGAGCAGACTGGAAAGAAAACAAGATCCTTCAATATGCTATCTACAAAAGACACCTTGAAAAGATGAAGCCAGCCTAAATACCCATCAACAGAAGAATGGCTAAACAAACTTTGGTATGTGCACACAATGAAATACTACAAAACACTGAAGAATAATGATGAATCTGTGAAACACTTCACAATGGGCTTGAACCTGGAGGACATTATACTGAGTGAAATCAGTTAATCACAAAAGGACAAATATTGTATGAGACCAATAAAGAAATATGAGGCACTTTGCTTCTCTGGTAGCGTAGTGGTTACGAATCGGGCTGTGAACCGCAAGGTCAACAGTTCGAAACTACCAGCTGTTCCACGGGAGAAAGATGAGGCTTTCTGCTCCCGTCAAGTTTTACAGCCTCGGAAACCCTGTACAGGGTCGCTGTGAGTCGGTTCAGACTCCATGGCACATAACAACAACAGCTTCCATAAAGATTAATCCTATACAGTGTCTCAATGAGTCAGAACAAACTCCGTGGCAGTGGGTTTGCTAGTTTTTGTAGACCTAACGCAGGCCTCCTGATGTGGCACTGTAGGATCAGCACTGGGCTTCGAAATACAAGGTCAGAAGTTCAAACCCACCAGCTGCTCCTTGGAAACCCTATATAGGGCAGCTATGAGTCGGAACCAACTCGATGGCACTTAACAACAACAATAACAAACTTCACCCAGGAACTCTGGTAGTTCTGTAGGATAAGAAATTGATAGCTAACCACAAGGCACCCAGTTCAAATCCACCAGCCACTCTGCAGGAGAAAGAGGAGTCTCCCATAAAGATTTAAACCCTCCTTGGAATCTCTATACAGGGTTAATATGAGTTGGATCCGACTCAACTGCATTAAACAGTCTTAACCCAACTCACACACACACAAAAAAAATTAAAAGACTAGGTAAACAACATGAGAAATGCACATGTGGGAACATGATATGAAAAAGTAGAGTACAAAATTCTATGTGGTGTAGGACTGCTGGTGACCACACTGGTCAGCTGGTGAGTGGAAGAGGGGGAAAGGCAGAAATGAAGAAATGGGCTGAGTTCAACCCCGGTCCATAGACTCCCGTTGACCTGGAGATGAGAAAGAGAAGAGGAAGGGCTGGTTGGTCTAAAGTGTGGTGAGATCTGGGGACACCTGAGTCCATGGACAAGGACAGGATTTCCAAGGAGCAGCTGGTGAGCTTGAACTGCCAAACTTGCAGTTCAAACTTTGTAGTCTGGCACATTAATCCACAGTGCCACACCAGGACTCCTGGAACTTGTTGGTGTTATGTGTTGTGGAGTCGGTTCTGACTCATAGCGACCCTGTACGGGGTTTTCAAGGTTGTAAATCTTTATGGAAGCAGAAAACCTCATCTTTCTCCTGTGGAACAGCTGGTAGTTTCAAACTGCTGACCTTGCAGTTCGCAGCCCAATTCATAGCCACTACGCTACCAGAGCTCTTTGGAACTTGATGTTGTTGTTGTGTGCCGTGGAGTTGGTTCCGATTCATAGCGAACCTGTACAGGGTTTCCGAGGCTGTAAATCTTAACGGGTGCAGAACGCCTTATCTTTCTCCTGCGGAGCAGCTGGTAGTTTCGAATTGCTGACCTTGCGGCTTGCAGCTCGATTCATAACCACTACGCTACCAGAGCTCCTTTGGAACTTGACTAGAGGAAGATTTTTAAAAATTGCTATACTTTGATGAACTTAACCTATACTTATGGATGTAGTAGCTCAAAAGGCCAATTGTGACGGAAGGAGTCTTCACATCAAGTATCAATCCTATCCCCTCTGTATACAGGGTAGATAGGGACGGGCAACTTAGATATTGGCTACCTAAAATGGGGGGGGAGGGGTAATAAAGGCACAAAGTGACTGGCTTGCAAGTTTTCAAGAGGGAGTTTAGTTTCAGAGTGGGCGGGCGAATGTAGAATCCCCACTGAATAGTTCTCATCTTGTCTAGACCGGTCTGGTGAAAAGAGATGAGGATAAGATTCTTAAGATTCAATAGTGAGTAATTGTTATTATGACTAATTGTGACTGTCACAACAGTAAAGGGAGAAGTTCTGTAACAAAAAGGGGTAAGTAGTTAATCTTACAGTCCAGGAACAGAGGACCCTAAGACCATTAAGGGAGAAGAGCATGAGCAAGAATGTAGGACCCTATCCAGAGAAGCAGCAACACCAGAGATGGAGGCAGAGATGAGGACATGGAGAGAGGGAGCAGCTGAGGACTCCGGACTCATGGAAAGAGAAAGGCTGTGTGCTTGAGGCCAGGAGGCAGGCTTGCAGAATGTGCCATTTGGTTGTTTAAATGAGTATATATTCCTGAGTATTTTTGTGTACATCCAAAAAACAAAACAGAAGGACTAGAAGCAAACACTAATGAATGATGATGCACAGAGGGGACTGAAATCATTGCAATGAAACGATGAGTGTAAAACCAGTATTCTCCCATGTAAGTTATCATTCAATTCATAATAAAAACTTTAAAAAAAAAAAAAGGTAATCAGAAAAAGCAAAAAAAATTGTATGTGGACAACAGACCCACAAAAAGAGAATGCTAGAACCAGGAAGACAATGGGACTATCAATCGGTGATAAGCCAGTGAGATTTGGGATGAATGAAATTCGGTTGAATGTTATATTATTTTTCAAACTTTATTGTGAATGGAGTAAAGGTTTACAGAACAGATCACTGGTTCCACATTCACTAAATCATATACTTTGTGTCATTACAATGATTGCAATCCCTTCTGTGTACCATCAGTTCACAGTGTTTACCTCGATTCACTTGAACCTTTGCATACCTCCCTGTGTCTTCTACCTTCATCTTTCCTGTGCCAACCTTTCTCTTGTATAATGTTATATTATTTTTTCATATAAATGGTTTTTATAAAATTTCTATGTTATATAATTATGCTGTATAATGTTAGTTTTGCAATAAATAAAAATTGATAGAAGGGAGGAACTTCCTTGATGGCCTCTCCAATATGTTCAAGTATATACATTGAAATGAGAAAATTTTACTTCTGGCCTGACTTAGGTTTGAAATATCAAAAGAAGAGAACTGTATTACACTGATCCTTGGTTCCAGGCTCTTGATTCACAGATGTTGTTGTTGTTGTTGTTGTTGTTGTTGTTGTTAGGTGCCATCAAGTTGGTTTTGACTCATGGAAACCCGATGTACAACAGAAAACACTGCCTGGTACTGTTGTTGTTGTTGTTGTTATGTGCCGTGGAGCCGGTTCCAACTCACAGGGATCCTGTAGAGGGTTTCCGAGGCTATAAATCTTTACAGGTGTAGAAAGCCTCATCTTTTTCCCGTGGAACAGCTGGTAGTTTCAAACTGCTGACCCTGAGATTAGCAGCCCGATTCATAAACACTACGCTACCAGGAGTCCCTGCCTGGTACTGTGCCAGGCTCATAATTGTTGCTATGTTTGAGCTCATGGCTGCCGTTGTGGCGATTCATCTCATTTAGTGTCTTTCTCTTTTTCAGCGAACCTCCACTTTACCAAGCACCATGGCCTTCACCAGAGACTGGTATGCAAACACAAGAGACAAAGTCTCATCATCCTTGTTTCCAGGAGCATTTTGGCCGTTCTTCTTTCAAGACAGATCTGTTTGTTTTCTAACCGTCCATGGCACTTCCAATATTCTTCAACACCATAATTCAAATGCATCCCTTCTCTGGTCTGCCTTATTCATTGTCCAACTTTCACACGTATGTCTTCATTGTCAAAGTGGAAACTTTACTCTTGAAAACTTTAAAGAGGTCTTTTGCAACAGATTTGCCAATGCAATACATCATGTGATTTCTTGACTGCTGCATCCATGAGCACTGATTGTGGATCCAAGCAAAATGAAGTCTTTGACAACCTCAATCTTTTCTCCTTTATCAAGATGTTGCTTATTGGTCTGGTTGCAAGGATTTTGAGTTTCTTTGCATTGAGGTGCAATCCATACTTAAGGCTATAGTGTTTGATCATCAGTATTTCAAGTCCTTTTCACTTTCAGCAAGCAATGTTGTATCATCTGCATATTACAGGTTGCTAATGAGTTTTCTGGAGTCCTGGTGTGTCAGACTGCAAAGTCATTTGAGCTGCAAACTTTCGG